CCCGGGGTAGCAGGTTTATATCCGGGAGGGAAGCTCGTAAGCCTTCCAAGTTGGGTGGGTTAGGTTGCAGGATAGTATGGCTCGGGGCTCGTTCTTGGTTGGGTGGAATATCTGGAGGTGGTGGAGGAGGCATAGGAAGGTTTCTTTGGAGTAGAGCATTAATCAGGGCTTGGTTTTGCTCGGCCAAGCGGTTAATGCTGTTGGTGAGCTCGATGAAATACTGTGGTGGGTTATTCGGATTGGGAGGGTCGGCTTGATGATCGAAAACATTAGGGTGAGAAGCCATGGATCTAATTGTGACCATCCACCTTCACAGGTGGTAGGAGGGGGTTATTGGGAGAGGGTCTCCGGCGACAATGAGCACAACTGGTGCGTGGAACAAAAACCTTTCCCACAGACGGCGCCAACTAATGATACAACGGGTTCCAGATGGAACGGGTCAGGTTGATCCACGCTTCCCAAATCGGTGTCCAAGGGATCAAGCCCACTAGAAGACCTGCACACGAGTTCAACGGGGAATGGGGAGTCCCCCAGTGAACCCTCCGACGAGCAAGTTAGAGAGAGAAGCGAAATGTGGAGATGAATTAGAGATAGAAAAGCTTAACCTTCTTCTTATCTTCGACGTTTGCTTATATCCTCTGGTAATCATTTCGTTGTCCCTTCCGACCTGTCACCTTGGCCGAAAGTCTATGCTCTAGCTTACCTTGTTCATGGTGAAGGCGTTCTGTCTCGACGGAGAGGGGTTATCGCAATAAATGCTGTAAGGGGCTTCATTAATGGCGCTGTGCAGTGGCAATAACTTTGTAGATCTTTGTCTGCTTATGTAGCTTGCCCTTCTCTTGCCATGTGTCTTGCTGTCATTGGTTCTTATTGCTACGTAGGGCTTTAGCAATGCTGGGCTTTAGTATTTGAGTTATGTATTGGGCCTTAAATGGTGGGCTATAATCTTTATGGGCTTACCTATGTCACATTACAATATTTGTGCATTTTTCGCTACATCTTTTTTTTCTTTGGCCTTATGAATATTCTTTGTTTATATGTTATAAATGGTAAGCTTTATGATTTTGTTGATTTTCAAATTTGAGTAAATCTAACAAGATTTTGATTTCTATTAACAGTATTGATTGCGGAATTATTGTATGTTACATCATGTGTCAAATCATGAGAGATGAGCCTATTACAAAGTCTATGGAAGATGATGAAATTAACAATTTTCAAGCATCAATAGTGTATTGATTTTTGAATGATTCTTCAAAAGCATGGGGTGAGAAACGGTTTAACTTCAAAAGAAAAATAGCCAAGTAATATAACCTCAAAGATGACGATGTGGATGACTTTTGAGAACTATTTTTTTGTATCTGATGTGAATGATGAATGTAATTTTGTTTTTTTTTGTAAATGAAAGAATGCTAAAAGAGTAGTTGTAGGTGAAAGAATGCTAAAAGAGTAACAATGATACATGTTATACTTGTTATGGATTAGAATGAAACGTTGTTATAGATAGAATACAATGATACAGTTTATATTTTGTCTCTTAATAATATATGTAGTTGTGGTGTTATATTATTTTTGCACAAAGATTGCGTTATGAGCAGTAGGGATTTTGTGTATTGTTGTAAATTTTGGTGTAGGTTGGAAATGTTTTCCTATAGGACTAACATACTTTAAATTCAGAAAACAAATCAGAAACTACATGGATAAACATTCAACAACATAGTAAAATTTTACTTTCAATTCAGAGTAAATTTTACTTTGAAATGCAGTAAAAGTTTACTTTCATGTTAAGAAAAGTAATGTTTATTATTTTTAAGACTAGAATTTTACTTAAAATCTTCATGTTAACAAACTCCATTAGAAGTTCCTGATGATTACATTTCGCAAAACATTAGAAAATTCTGCTGCATCCATAACAACTGATCTTCTACGATCAACTTCCTCTTTGCTAACACCAACCTCTGAAATCGACGGACCAGGATCAACATGACTAGTGTCATCACCACCTCTGCGTACATCAATCTCTGACAAACTCAGACGACCTCTGCGTTCATGAATAACTGAACCACTTTCCCCAAAACCTCCTAACAACAAATCTCTTCGCCTCTCTGGTAAACCAACAGACTTAGTCCGTGTCAGAATCGGAATGGCCTTCGTTGGAGGGCAATGCCAAACATCAACATTATTATTAGTATATTTTTTAGATAACACAACAATAGAAGGGGCCCTCATTTGCGAATCTTTTGGCATGTCACTCGTAGAATACTTCAGATACCCCATCATTTTACAATACGTAACCCCTCTTTTAATATTCGAATTTTCAAGTCGATACTTCACCATCCATGGCACCTGTTTGTCGTTAATTGAACAATAACCATTCCCATAATAAACTAACTCGCATTGACAATCTACTGGGAAAATAAACCATGCCTACAAACTGTCATTACCGTCTAACCTCCAATCATAAATATTTACTCTGACCAACCCACTAGCATTGGGTGCGCAAAGGGAGGAATATTTTATCAATATTTTATCAACCTTAATACTTTTTTGTTTGTATCTTAACCTCAATTGAGAAAATAAATTAGGCAACGCAAGTTCAATACAACTGAAATCACTTGTTGAAACACCTTCAACAACCCCAGTTTTTATATCGTCCACCTCCATTAACCTGAACATTAGAAATAAAATACATCAAATTACAATTCTAAACAGTTTTAAAGTACATTTGACTCCTTAAAGTAATTTTGCATTCCTTTCCACTAACAGTAGCAGCCACGAAATATATGACACCCTTTTGAATACTTCCAACATTTCCCAACAGCGTATCTTTGTAGTCCGTCCAAACATCAACTAGGAAGAACCGGTCTACAACTTCTATCCCGTGAAACCAATCCAACCACATAAAAAAAAATAATATTAAAATATCAAATTCAACCACAAAGCAAATCATATACTTGGATAACAACCATTCAACAATATAGTAAAAATGTTTTTTATTGAACACATAGTAGTAACCGACACTTGTCATTCTTTACATACACAAACTCAAATCCTATTTCAATGGCATATTTACATAACGCAGTCTGGAAATCCTTTACATCTTCAACAAATCTTTGAATGCTATTCACCCATCCAGAAGACAACAAAAGTCCTTTCTTAATGGTGACAAAACATAGAAATTAAATCCATTTTATCATCAGTAATGTTGGATCTACTCGCATAACAACATAAGAGCTGGAACCATTTTTCAAATTTGCAATTAGTTTACAGTAAAAACTTAGTGGCAATCAAAGTAAAATTTTACTGTTATTTTATCAAACAAAAACAAAGCACATAATACCAGAATAAAATTTTACTCTCATTTTATCAAACAAAAACAGAGCACATAGTACCAGAGTAAAGTTTTACTCCTAAACAAAAACAGAGTAGATAGTACTAGAATACAATTTTACTCTCTTTTTATGAAACAAAAATAACTAATCAACAACTAATCAACCAAAAAAAAAAAAAAAAAAGACTAATTGACAAATCAACATACCTAAGCAAACTCGAACAATAATCAAACACATGATCAAAGCAAAACCTCTAAAACTAGATCAATACTCTTAATCTTGATGAAACTCTCAAATTCTGATACAGATTTATACAAATTTGAAATGTAAAGCTCTTATTGATACATATTTCAAGATTGTTGAAGAACACATGATCGAAACAAATTTGGTGAGATCGTCGGCGGCGAATCATCTATTGTTGACCGATGGTGAGATTGTCGGCGGTGAGATTTTCAGATTTTGAGATCAAGTTTTTGCGAGATCTTTATTGATTAGATTTTCAAATATATGAGATCGTGTATTTATGGATTAGATTTTCATATATATGATATGTGTGTGTGTGTGTGTGTGAAAGGGCAATATTATCCATAAAAAATAAGGAAAAAATTATGATATGTCCTTTCCTGAGCTACTCTTCTCTTTCTTAAGGACATTTTGAAGTTAAGGCCTCGTTTGGCAAGAGGCTATTTTAGCCAATTAGCCAAAAAGTTACTAAATTAGTCAAAAAGCCAACAACCCATACCAAAAAGTCAAAGATTCTCTTTTCTCTCTACTTTTTGCACATCTTTTCGTAATTAGCCAAAAAGTCATCCCAAACATACAAGTTTTTTTTACCTACCTTTTTAGCCAAATAGCCAAAAAGTTACTAAATTAGCCTGTTCCCAAACGAGGCCTAAATTAGGCTTGGTTTGGCATCTACTATATAATCCATCTTTTTATCTTTTTATCTTTTTTCCATCACATCACCTCTCTACTTTTCTGCACATCTTTTCGTAAAAAGACAAAAAGTGCACTTTTTTAGGACACCCCAAACCAATCCTTAGTTAAGTTATCCTTTATCCTAGAAAAAAGCCCAAAACTTTGGGGTTTCACAAAAAATTTCTAATTTTAAAGTACTAGTTGAATATTTTTTTAATATGTTAAATAATAAATATTTTTGGAATTTTGGAATTTTTTAAATAATTATTTTTTTGAATTAAACTTTAAAAAGAGTTTGGTTATGAGTTTTGAATAGAATTTTCAATGAAGTTTTGAGTTATGTGTTTAGTTATGAGTTATAAGTTTTTGAATTAAGTTTAAAAAATTCTTTTCAAAACTTATGACAAACAACTTTTCTCATTTGAAAACTTATTTCAAAAATTCAAAATTCAATTCAAATTTTTTTTCAAAACTCATAACTAAATAAATTTTCTTTTTTCAAATTATGATTCAACAACTCAAAAATTCAAAATACAACTCCATTATTAAATTATGATTCTAAAACTAAACTAAACGCTATCTTAATATTTTCTAAAAATAAATATTATACTTCTTTAAGTACATTTATTTTAAATATATTTAAAAAATAAAAAAATTATTTAAAATATTAAAAAAATTCAATAAAAATAAAAAATAATTTTTTTTAATAAAGTGAATCATAAATCTTAAAACCAAACAAGTGAATGGGTGCGGTGTGAACAGTCAAGTGAAGTACATAAAAACCATTTCAATTGGTGAGAGAGAGAGAGAGAGAGAATGGGGAGAGAGGTGTCAGAGAGCTGTGTAGAGAGTCTGATGACAGAGATTGTCTCTTCTTACTGCAATCACTTGTACGCCAACAAGCCAGAGCTCGCTGCTCGAAGGATCGAAGCTATCGGCTATCAGGTCGGCCACCAGCTCTCTGAAAGGTACTCTCTGCGAATCCCATATCTCCTCATTTGTTCACCATTTACACACACAAATTCATATATTTGTGTGATTAAAAAGCCTGAATCAAGTTCAAATTCCTAGTTTTTCTTGATCTTCAACACTTGTTTATATCTTGTTCGAAAATGCTTAGGGTTTTGCAAATCGTGGAATCCCTTTTTTTTTTGGATCTGAAGATGATATCTGATGACCTATTTTGATCAATTCAGTGGAATGCATTTTTGGAATATGTAGATATTGACTTGCATTTACATAATTATGTGCACCTTGTAGCATCTCCAATCCTTCTTTTTTTTTTCCCCATCAAATTTGAGTGAAAATTTGGTTAAAAGATTCATCTGATATCGAGGACGTCATTCCTTACTCTCTTTTATTTGCCAAATCTTTTTGAAAAATTTCAAATTTATCCGAAAAATCTCTTTTAACTATTTTTTTATGAAAGAAAACCATCTCCTATGTTTACTATTTTTAAAATTTCATCAAATTTAAGTAAAAATATGAATGTTGGAAGTTTGGTGAAGGATTTGGGTCATCTTGATTTGGGGAAAAAATGACCTCTCCCTTTTATTTGGTACAAATTTGATGAAATGGTTGGAGCACACTTTTAGACATTTTCTCATCATTTTGAATTGATGAAGGATTGGAGATGCTCTTGTATCATTTTGTGGCTGTGAGAATTTCAGGAAGAAAAGATCTTTTCAAATTCTAAACCTGAAGCTTTCAATTGAATTTCTTGAGATATTGATACCTATTTCGTAATCATTCCTCATTCCTTGATATAAGGGTAGGGCTTAGAATTACACAATTTCACTTCTTATTAGGTATACGATGGACCGGCCACGGTTCAGTGATCATCTAGAGGCAATCAAGTTCATCTGCAAGGATTTCTGGACCGAGCTCTTCAAGAAGCAGATAGACAATTTAAAGACCAATCATAGAGTAAGTTTAGGGGCCTAAAATGAAATAGCATTTTAAAATTGTTGTAAGAATTTGACAAAGCGGGTTTCATTTGCCTTGTAGGGTACCTTTGTGCTACAAGACAATCAATTCAACTGGCTTTCACACATGTCAATTGAACCGTCCTCTCAAAACTCTGGTTCAGTTCAAGATCCATCTACTATGGCTGAAAGTAAGGCAGCACAAGCAACAGGCATGTATCTTTACTTCCCATGTGGAATCATACGGGGAGCGCTATCGAACTTGGGAATCCCTTGTGCGGTTTCTGCAGATATATCGAACCTTCCTGCTTGTGAGTTACTCTCTTTAAGTGCTTTCGATATTTCTCCATCGAAAGGTGAAAAAGCAATGGAATAAATATATTCAGCCTAGGGTTAATATTAAGAGCATTGGTGTAGGCCATTTGCCCAAAAATGTTGTTATTCTTGTTTCCATTGCCATCTGATATTTCTTGATTTTTTTTTGGTGTTGAAGAATATCATTTACTGAAGATTTGTGTTTCAATCAACTAAGGTCCTTCTAATCTGGTCAATTACTTTTTGGGTTGGGGTTTGAACTTGAGTGAACTGTTTGGGCCCACCCATTTTGATGATCCAAATCTTCTCTCTCTCTTTCTCTTTTTGTAGGGTTGTCTGTGTTTATCATCCTTGCAAAAATTAAGCCGATTTGATAATCACATTTTATCGCATTTATATCCGAAAAAATGACAACAAGTGTGTTTTTGAAAATAGACCATCCATTGTTTAGAGATAAATGCGATAAAATAAAGAGGGTTCGGTTATTGGATTGACTTAATTTTTTCTAAGGATGATATATACAAAGGATTTTACAAAATAAACGGTTTGGATAATTGAAATGAGACCTATGGTGGGTCTCATAGGCTTGAATAGTTCTCTCAAGTACGTATTTGAAATTGAGAGAAGCCCAACCATTACAGGGAGGTACTCTCCTCTAGACCTTAAGATCCATAATCCTCTTGACTAAATACAAGAGAATGCCACGTGTATAAATAAAAATCTAATGGCAAGCAAAGTCCATAGCATTAAACTTAGTCTTCTCCCACCAACATTCCATCTTTCTTTCTCTCTCCCTCTCTGCCTACCCACCCTTTCTCTCTCCTCCTACTCCACAAAGGAGACTAGCAGAGCAAAGTCTCATTACAAAAAAGAAAAAACCATGTTTACTGTCCCACTCTATATTTCTTCATCTTCTCCTATGCAACGAGCTTCTTGAAGAAATCTTTCACATCCTCCAAATAGCTTCATCATTCGTCGTTGCCATCGTGTCTAAGTAGTAATTTGGTCTCTACCACTCATCTAATTCTGTCTCCGTCTTTCCCCCCGTAATTAGTCAAATGAAGGATGTAAAGAACAACCCATACAGAAGTTTCTGCAAAGAGTCGTTCTCTCTTTCTTAAATACACACATGAGAGTGAGAAATCAACAAAACTTGGCGTCTTGATCATCAAAAATACCCAAAAGTAGAATGATACTTGTGATTTAAAAATTAGAGATAAAATTTATTTCCCAACAAGCTGTTGTTATTGTAGATTCTAATAGCTGATACATTTCATACCAAAGTGTCTTAGAAGAACAATCTTAGAAGCTTTGTTTGACTTTTCCCTTGAAGTAACGTTTGATGATATGTTTAGCAACTTTGTCTTAGACGAACAATCTCTCTAGACTATATATGTATGCATACATGATATACATATACACTTGAAATTGAGCTTTTGATTATTGAAAATTTGCTTTTTAATGTATCCAAGTTTTGTTATGAAAATATTATGGGTTTACCATAATCTCTTTAATCAATTAAAAGCAACAAAGAGATAATGATCTAGATTTTGTTATGAAAATATTATGGGGTGACCATTGGTTTAATGGTTAAGACTTGGCCTAATAACCTTGAGGTTATGGGTTTAAGTCTTGGGCCACCACTTTACGCTTTATGCCAAAGGTTAGGTGTGTACTGAATCTTTCCCCTCCCAAACACACATTAATGTGTACTTCTTGGGCGTTGTTTTTTATAAGGAAAAGAAAGAGATAGGGTGAAGAACCATCGGCTAGCAACTATGTTACATGGATTTTTCAAAATAAATAAAATACTCGTGTCGGACACCTGACACATGGACAAGAGTGTGGGATATGTATGTGGTTTTTTGCATCGGATTCTTCTTATATAGTTGTATTTAACACTACCATTATATGTATATATTGTTGTGTAATTGTTATAAAATGAGTAAAACAACTACGTTTGGGGACTTGAGATTTTAGCCAAAAAGTCATTATAAATTGTCACATCACTCTCTCTACTTTTCTACACATCTTTTCATAAAAAAATAAAAAAACTAACTAAAATAGTCAATTCCCAAACGATGATATCACTTGTAACATCGTTGTATCTTTACATAATAAATTAAAAATATGACAATTTTTTTTCAAATATGTGTATCTTTAACTTTGAAGTTTGATGGGTCTGATCTTTAGATATGCATCCACACCTGACACCTATACTTGAGACATAACTCTTGCAATGATGCCCTTGTTAATGGGAGGGGGTTGTCTTCCTCTTGGAAAGGCTAAAGCTCATCTAAGGTGACCTTTGTTTGGTGTGCCACAATAAGAGGATTTTCACCATAAACAACTTGATTAAAAGGAATCGAATTAATGTCAATTGGTGTTGCACATGTAAGCACAGCAAAGAATCTGTGAGCCATCTTCTTATCCATTGTGAGGTAGCTCAGGATTCGTGGGTCTTGGTCCTTCAATTGTTTGGCCTAGCTTGGGTGTCTTATTCGTGGAGGGGTGCTTGGGTGGGAAGAGGAGAAGGATCCCTGTGGCATTGTTGTTGTTGGTTTGGAGTGAAAGAAATAGAAAAACTTTTGTTAGAAGAATTAATTTTGATTATTAAGGGAACCATTTTCCGTTGTGGTTGGTTTGAAGTGAAAGGAATAGGAAAACTTTTTGTTGGCAAAGAAGAATTAATTTTGATTATTAAGAGTAAGCTATTTTCTTATTTGTTTTGTTCGTTGTCGGGGATTGTTAATCTGTACTTGAATTAAATTTTAGATTTTGTATAGACTTTTATGTAGTCTTTGATATTTAGTTGGTATAGCTTTTTTTGTTTTTTTAAATACGGATGGTACCCTCTTGGAGACTCTTTGTTAATGAATTATACTTGTATAAAAAATAAAAAAAAAGGGATAGTAGTATGCTTTGTTATTCACAAATTTTATTTATTCTATATTATATTCATAATTTTGTAACATTATTTATTAAATAAAAAATTGTAATCAGCCAATTTATGATGAATGAGTACTTGATCCGCCAATTTCTTAAATTCTACTGGGAGTTTCTAAGTTAGAAAGTTCTATGTTATGTTAGCGTAACTTTCTAATTTAGAAGCTCTCAGTCTGATATCAAGTGATGGATCCCACATACATGTCTTCTATCTTAGTTGGTATGTTTGTTGCTACACTAGTTAGTGTTTCTAGCATTACTGTAAAAATTAAAGAACATACAAAAAATCCTTAAATTAAGCCTAACATCCAAGCTTCCTTCTAAGTCTCTAACCTCTAAAGTGAGTGCATAGCTGATGCAGGACGAATAGGGACAGCGCTGGATTTTCAAAACAGAGGTTATTTGATGGCCTCTCTATGGCCACAGAACCCATCAGCCTCACTAGTGGCTGATAGGTCCCCACATTGGTTTCACTGAACTCTTAATTACTTCTACTTTGGTGTTTCAGTTGAAGCCTTAATTACCCTGATATCTGTGAGTTCAGAAATCAAATTGTGGGATATTATCTTCTGTTTACCTGGAACAAAGTTCATTTTTCTATGTGAAGCGAGAACGGGAACAGGAATGTGGAACGCCAGATGCTCTATAATGTGGTACAATAGGAGTAGATTTGTATAGATTACACTAACAAGTTAAGGTACTAATAACATAATTATTTTTTTAACAAATGGACATTCAACTAATATTATGTCTAGTTGGTGTGTTTGTTGGTACACTAGTTTGTGTTTCTAACATTATTGTAATTTTTAGGCTTTAATTGAGAGGTTCTTCATTTCCCTTTTTTTATTTTATTTTAATGGATTTGTCTACAAATTACAGGCTTGATGTAATGAATGCCAGACTGGACTATTGAAGAACGTTAAAAACTATATCTTTCTCAGCCATCTCTTTCTTTTGCCTATCCGCCGGTTCTTCTCCTTCTTCTTCTCTAGTCTTCCTTTGTCTGCTCTTCCTTTCCTCCGATAAAATTTGGAAATTTCTTGGTTCCCAGCCAAACTCAATTGAAATTAATTGGAACCATGTATACTAAAGTTGTTAGGCTTAGTAGAATCATAGTTTAGGTTATTTAGGATAGGTATAAAATTATTTTGTTATTTATTTGTTTTCTGATGTTAGGTTAGAGATATTTTGGTAATTTCAGCATTATTTGTATTTATGAGGTACTGTTCATGTGATCGCTAAAAATGTCATTTTTTCGTTCTCAATGCCCTAATATTTTGCTTTACCTTTTGAAACTATTAAATCTTCATATTTTACCGCCCACCTGGCTGTAAAACCAATTAAAGTCAGTCCCAAAAGCCCACATTTGCTACTACTATACAATACACATTGACTTTGGGCTCATTATTTGAAGGTGAGTGCACCCCATCTTTGTCCTATGTCGTTCAGCCACGAAAACCAATTTTAATGAGTCTAAAAGTACATTTTCTACTCACTTTTGAGCTCCCCGCTAGTTGGAGAATATTCCCACCGCTCGTACTTCTCCTAATACATGCAAATACAAGGGTAGAATTGATGGCAAACGCAGTTGTACTTCCCTAACCGTAACTCTAACCCTATGTATGACTTTTGGAGCTTGAAAACAGACCTTCAGTTCTGCATGCAAAGGATTTGATGCTGCAACAGAGATGAAAACATTTTGATATGCCATAAATGAGAGACAAACTGATTCTATAATAAATGCAGTTTGTTTTGAAACCATTTTAAAGTCACTTTGTTGTAATTTGTTGTTTTCTTTCTTGTTAAGTTTTGGTATAAAAACATATTGAGCTCATGGTGATTCGAGATTTATTTATCTATTGCTTACATTTCAGAGTTGTTAATATCCCTCTTTCTGCATATTTATGTATATCTGCATCTATTCATGTATTTGAATTGCTGAACAGGTTCATTTGTGATCCGGATAAAGGCCTGATGAGTGGTATTAACAGAGGGATTCAGGCTTCTGTTCAATGATCTGACCCACACCAAAGATGTGTTCTTCTTTCTACTCCGTAACTATTTACTTATAGTAAAACTTTTGAGTGTTAAAGTCATTAAATCTGTATAACTGAAATTCTTCTGGAGAACTTTGTGTGTCTGTCTCCCTGAATGAACCATGCTGTTGTAAAGTAGAGTTGCAAAATATCTCATTTTTAGTGTTTCCACAGTTCTAACGCAAATAGATTTTAAGGATGTTTCAGTAGTACATGATGCTGTTTGGTGCAACTTGTATGAGTTGCTTATAGCTTATTTTATTTGAGAGTATGTGCTAGACTATTTGATACAATTTCAACTTACAACTGGAAAAAGTAACATAAATAAGATGAAAAGAACTTAATATTTAGAAGCTGGGGAGAGGTGCTTTTCACTTCTGTTGTTTTATTATCATTTTTTAACTTATAATAAGTTGTACCAAACATGCCATATGTTGCCTATTTTGCTATTTTTAAGTTACACCAAACATGCCTTATGTTGTTTATCTTAATGTTTTTGGTAAATTACAAATATACCCTTTAATGTTTGTTTAAAATACGAATTGTTTTTTAGGATTACATTATGCCTCTTTAAGATTTTAATTCCATAACAAATTACTCATTTTATTAATAAATTATTAAGTTAGGGAACAATTTGTAATCATGTCACAAACATATTTTAATTAACAATTTAAGTAATTTTATTGTTGTATAGGAAAGTAGTTAAAAAATTTATTTTTTCTATTAATTCTGTTAGATAAATATTTTTGATAAAAGAGTATTTGTAATTTTTAAAATCACAATGAGATATTCATATTTTAAATAAATTTCATGCAGTGTATTTTAATTTGCATAATGTTTTTGTTTGAAAGCTTTGTATAAGCCCACTAATCAGATATGAGAGTTTCTATTCACACACCATGTATTATCTCAGTTCACACTATTTTTCAAAATTTTAAATTACTATCTTGCATTTTAAGAAAATTACTTAAGATGACAAGAATACACCCATTCAAACACTCTGGCACCAGGTACCATTTTTGGCGCTACAAACCCTAGCTAGTGTTGATGCCAACAACACCATCTACTAGTCCCCAATCCTCGCAACACCTTCCTTACCCTTCCTCGTTGCTTCTCTAGCAACCTTCTCTCCTCGGCTTCCTCCTCTTGTTATCCTTTTTATTCTCTCAAAACCACCACCTATCACCACCCACTCTCTAATCCCATCACATCACCGTTTCCCACAACCTTCCCTAGTTTTCCCTTCGCAATCTTGAACTTGTTGTCCCTCATTTGCAGTGTCGCCACAACCCTAAGATGAAGAGAGAGAAGATCACGATTGAAAGAGAGAGAGAGCAATCCCGTAGTAGCTCGACGACAAAGAAAGCATATTGCGATTGAGAAGGAGATGTATCGCAAGAATGGCTGACGAGAATGTTGGTGGCGACGGTAACAATGGTGACGGTAGTGGCAATGAAGTGTGTGACGAGAAAAGGAAGAGAGATAAGGAGGCAGTGGAGCGACTGCTAAGGGAGGCGGTGGCATTGGTGTCTTCGGTGCCAATAATAGAGGTAGCAACAATGGATGGTGATTTTAGGGTTAGAATTAGTGGCTAAATGACAAAGGTATTTGAGGAAATTGATGGTGTGAATTAAAAAAGAAAAAAAGAACGATAAAAATTGTGTTGTGTGAATTAAATAATGGTATGGGATGAGAGAATTGGTATTGTGTAAATAGAGGCTCCCTTAAAATATAACTTGATATGATATAGTCATGACTTGTGTGACATTTGATTATGTCTCATTGAGGTGTTGGTTATGACTTAATTATAATCTATTATGATTATTATTTTGGTTACGACTGAAGAAATTTTTGGTTATATCTTAAGTTGTGTTTGGTGTGAGTTATGACTCAATTATGATCTATTGTGATTGTAATTTTAGTTATGATCAATAAAATTTCTAGTTATGACATAAACTGATTTAGTTATGATGCTTTTGTGGTATCAATACCACAAAGTGTTATAACTTGCATGACTTTTTTGTGTGTGTGTGTGTGTGGAAAATTCTATATACTTGTGTTTCATGTGTACCTTATTATGTATTTTTGTAGTATAACGTATTTCTTTGGTAATCATTATGTAATTTTTTAGTAGAATTACGACAATTTGTAGTTCAAAAATGAAGTCAAACATTTTTGCGATAATGTTACATATTTTTTATGGTAATGTTACACATCTTGTAGCTAGAAAAAATTTGAATAAAAAAAAAAGTGTTATATTACCACAAAAATGTGTAACTTAATTTATGAACTACAAATTATAGTAATTATACTAGAAAAATATATAGAGTGTTGCTATTAGCACTCCATAAATTATTCTGAACCTCTCAATTTTTAACTTTTTTTTATTACAATAATAACTTCAAATAAAATTACTAAGAATGATATCATTAATTTTGGGACACCCTATCTCACAATTAAACCTACATACCTACTACATCATGAATTAGAGTTTATGAGAACGCCCATCTCTATTACCACCATTTCATCTTCTCCAAATCACACCTTCAAAACCTATCCATCCTTAAAATCTTGAAAACCTTTTGGTGACAATATTTCGGTGGTAGCAATGACAATCATTTGACTACTTACACTTCTTCAACAATGACAATGAATGGAAATTTTTCTGGTAACAACAACTCCATAAGATGAGAGGAGTACAACAATAAAACCTTAGAGAAGCTTCGTAGTTTTGATGTTGTTCTTAGTTCAGAGGAGATTGGCCTTGTAAGGGTAAGTTTTTCGAAAAAAGTGACAAAAATAATAAAATATGTTCATTATTTTTTCGGGACTAAACTCCCGAACATATGACCGAAATTCGGGAACGCAGACCTGAACATTGTTTATGTGTTCGGGAACTAGTAACCAAACATTTATTATTTGTTTGGGAATGCAAGTTCGCACATGAAAATTTCTTAACACATTGAACGGTCAAAATTATTAATACTTGCAGAAGTTTTCATTTTTTAAAGTTATGAAATTTAGGCCAGAACATTACTTATTAGTTCGGGAAGGCATTCCCGAACAAATAAGTAATGTTCAGGAAATGTAGGCCCGAACATGAAAATTTCTTAACATATTGAATGGTAAAATATTTTAACACTTGCAAAAGTTATCAGACGTAACCCAAATCCATTATCAGGTTCAAAAGTTATTTTCATCGCGTAACTTTGATATTATTGTTGCGTAGTTCTCTGTTGAACTCACAATTTTATAATATCTACCAACAAAATCAACCAAACAAATTATTACAATTTTTTTCCTACAAGAGAAATTATGTATATATATAGAGAGAGAAAGCATACCAACTGTGATAATGGTGGATGAGATAGTAGAGACAGTAATCACATTGGCTCTTCTTCTTCTTGATGGGTTTTGTTAAGGTTTTCTGGAAGAGGGGTTTTTTTGGGATGTGTGGGTGTGGGGGTGTGCATTCAATGGGTAAAATAGTTTTACAATAACAATTTTAGTATTATTTTAGGGGGGAAAAGAAATTTTGACGGTTTCAAAATTTATATGTGGAGCCCAAAGAAATAAGGGATTCAAAATAATTTATGAAGTACTAATAATATATATATATATATATACACAAAAATAAGAATGCATATAGTACACAACATTTGGACCCCCCCCAAAACACACACACACACACACATATATATATATACACATTAGGTAGAAAATGGCTGTGTATAGGAATGGCAACGGGGCGGGGCGGGCCCGGGGATCACCCTCCCCGTCCCCGATCCCCCAAGACAGAACTTCCCCCCGTCCCCGTCCCCATCCCCGACGGGGAACCAACTACCGCCCCCACCCTCGCCCCCTAACGGGGATCGGGTTCCCCGACCCCGAAAATCCCCGGCCAAAAAACAACATCAACAGAATATTTGGGCTCAAATACAACATCAACAACATAAAAAAAAAAATCAACAACATCTCAACATCAACAGATTATTAACAATAGAGAAAAGATCAACCACACAAAAAAAAAATAATTGATAGAAAATAACTTATTCAATTTATTATATTTGTGAACAACAAAATTAGATAGTCTATTTTTAGAAATACATTTGTCGTTTATTTTTTAGATATAAATGTAATAAATTAAATAGATTACGATTATCGGAATATACTTATTTTTTGTGTCAGTAATATACACAAAGACAACACTGTAACAATCCAAAAATTTAAGTTGTCCCTTAAATTTTATACTAGTATTATGGTTGTATGTGATAATATATTATTAAATAAAAAATAATAAATACAGAATACAACATGTCATGTAGGATACATAAATCTATGAAAGAGATTCATTTAGGCTAAAGTTGTCTGTTTTGACATATCTTTCCTTTATTAAGAAAAAGGTGAGGTTTTGATTGCTTTTCTCAAAGTTAAAATGAGAGAGAAAGAGAGATAGGGACAACTTCACTTAAAAGCAAAAGAGAGTTTAGTAGTGTTTCATCCACTTTGAGTATTACTGGAAAGGACTATGCTGCCATTGTTGGTACAATTCACTTTGGTATATCTATAAAGGTCTATTTGGTCTTTCATGTTATCAAGGAATGATCTGTTGATTGGTTTGGCCAACCAAATCAAGGATGTATGAACTATGGCACTAAAAAGCTATTTGTAACTATCCCTACATAATACTGACTTTAAGGAATTGAATGGAAGAAAATTGAGAGCAGTACTTAATTTAAAGGGACAAAGGTTATATTATCTAGCTCTCCACTTTAAAAAAGTTAAAAAGGAAACAGGATTTTACATTTTTATCACTGTCACTTGTTGATTCTATTTCTGGTGAAGTGATAGTCTTTTACCTAAATGTATTCATCTAATGCAAGATAAAGTCGACTGAAAGACGGGACAAATTAGCAATTCAGTGGAATAGGCGCTGCGAATGTGGCATTCATGGAGCAAGGATCCTCTAAAGTGATTTTTTTCTAAAGTTTCCTAGAGTGCTACATTGTGTGGTTGAGATTTACTGGCAAGTCATATCAATTTTTCTGATGTGACTTGCTAGTAAATCTCAACCACACAATGTAGCACTCTAGGAAACTTTAGGAAAATTTCACTCTAGAGGATCCTTGGTGGCATTCATGTGGTAAATTGTTGATTGAATAGATAAATAATTGTACTTTCAAGCGGCTGCTCTTGCGTAAAATGTCCATAA